TGAAGAAACTGTTCCAGGGTTCAGCCTGGTTTTGGCAGTTGCCTTTTGTCCCCTGGAGTGTGGGCTGGGATCCCGTGCTTATTTCGTGTCTGTTCAGCCTCTTTGTTTTTACCATCCTGTTCCTCTGTGCCTAGTTTTCATTTAAGGTATTGTTGCTCTGACTTAAATCACAATTCTTTTGCTGCCTGCTAACACACACCCTAAGTGGGGGAACTGAGGTATGTTTATGATGAGGACAAAAAGAAGCAGCCTGTTACAGGGGAAGAGACCCAAGGCCAGGAGGCAGGGGACTTTGTGCCTTGGTCTCAGTGACCTCTGACAGGCTCTGATTGTAGGAAACCAATGAGGGTCCCACAGAAAGTTACTGGAGACTGAGTACTAGATTTACCTGTGAATCTGCGTTTAGGACTCTGAGCTAGAAGCATAAACCCCAGACTATCTGCTAATTATCCTCCAAGGTCCTAAGTACAGAGAGGTTCATTCCTGTATCTCTTCTCAGCCAAATCTAGAATTTTCATCTGTATAAATTCTTGGCTTCAGCACTGTCCAAAGGAAATAGAATGTGAACCACATATGTAATTGTAAATTCTCCTGAAGCCACATTAAGAAAAAGTAAAAGAGAAACAAGTAAAATTCACTTCAATAATCTAGTTTGTTTAATCCAGCATATTCACTGTATCATTTCAACATATAAATAGAACTTTTTATTATTCTGCTTATGTGTTAAAATTTTATTATTTTATATTTTATCATTATTTATTATTAAATTTTATATTTTTATATAAATATGAATGAGCTATTTTACAGTCTTTCTTTTCGTACTGGGTCTCCAAAGTCCGGTGTGTGTTTTACATTTACAGTGCTTCTCATTTCAGACTAGTCGCACTACAAGTGCTCAGTAGCCACATGTGGCATTGGCTACACACTGGACACTGCAGCTTAGACCATGTGACCATTAGGGGCCATATACTATTATTTGTACATTGGCACTTAGCCCAGCATCTGGCCTGGATTGGATGTTCAAAAACCATGTGTAGAATAAATTAACAATACTGTAGTGTTGGTTTTAAATATAAAATATGAACAAGCCACAGAGAAATTTTTTTAATGTTATACATCTATGTTAAAAGTCAAAGACTATTGCTAGAAGACTAACTTCCTGTTGTTTGTAGAACTAGACTTTGCTGTTTGAATGTCACCCCAATTCAACAAAATTCCAAATATTTCTGTCTCAATATAAATACTTTGATCTTAGGCATATTCCTTTTACTTTTAATCCTTCAGCTAAAAAACCCCAAACTTAATTTTTTAATTTCTCATGGCCTTGACTATTTCTTTAAGGTATTCAAGATAAACTAGACTACATTGCAACTTTAAATGTAAAAACTGTTTGGATTACTTCATTTTATAAATCATCCCTTAAAGATTTCCGACATGCTATTGAAGACTTCCGAGAAATCGATCCCATTTTTGGAACAATGGAAGATTTTGAGAATCTGGTTGCAGCCATACATGATAAAGGTAAATTGAATGGAAGGTGGGTGGGATGGGTTGAGAAAAATATTTCTTGTATAGCTCAGTGGTAGAGTGCATGCTTAGCATGCACAAAGTCCTGGATTCAATCCCCAGTGCCTCCATTAAAAAAAAATTAATAAGCAAACCTAATTACCTACCCCCCTAAAAAAGCATTTCTCCAAATGCTTACCTTAAAGCATTTTTTCCTTAACTGTCATGTATTAGTCTAATATAATTTTTTCCTAACATTTGCAATATTTTCACTCATTAGGTTTAAAATTAATAATAGATTTCATACCAAACCACACCAGTGATAAACATGCTTGGTTTCAATGGAGTCGGACCCGGACAGGGAAATATACTGATTATTATATCTGGCATGACTGTACCCACGGAAATGGCACCACCACACCACCCAACAACTGGGTAAGTACCAACGTGCCTGGTTTACAAAGGGAAAAAGGGCAGATCTTCAGTGATTAAACAGCTTATTTATAAAGCCTTTTTAAAGGAAATAATTGATGGGTATACGTTTATGGGAAGGGGAACAAGTTTCCCAAGGAAATAGAAATGAAGTCCCGAGTCTCCTAATCGTGTGTATTTTTCATTTCATCGTAGAGCTGCTGTGTTCTAGCAAACGAGCCCCATGCTCTCTACTGGCCTCTCCTTCCGTTACTCCCCACCCTGTCCAGCTTCCACGTCCTATTAGTTCAGTAACTGTCTAGCTACCCGCCAGACTCCTTTGCCACTCTGACTTTTTGACTCCCCTCTGCAGCAAAACACTAGCCGTGAATGAGCCCAACCATCTGTTTTCTCTTTGCCTGAACCTTGGTGTCAGAGCCTAGGCCTGAACTGAGCCATTCAGTCTTTTTGGTACTTTTACTAAATCCAACTAATCTACATGCCCTCCTTTCTCTTCAAACATCCTACCTGCCTTCTCCCCATCTTATCGTTCTCAGCAGCAAACTCTACTTCAAAGAGAGAACAGAAGCCATCAGGCCTGCCTGCCCCCTCTTCCCCTGCTTTTCCTTCTCACTTCTTTGGCAGCAAAGACTGTGTCTCGCCTGTCTGGGGTTACCAGATACACAAGTAAAAACCCAGGAAGCCCCCCCCCAAATCTGAATTTTGGACAAACCATGCATACTTTTTTAGTGTAAAATATTGCATGGGACATACTAATACTAAAAAAGTATTCATTGTTTATCTGAAACTGAGATTTAATTGGATGTCTTGTATTTTATTTGGCAATTCTACACCTGTCCCAGGTCAGTCCTTACACCCATTCTGGGTCATCTCTCCCCACCCCAGTGCCGCCTTCTCTCTTTTTGACCTCCATAAACATTTAACGAGGCTGACTCCCAGGCATCAAATTTAGATGACCCAAGGGCACTCAGATGACATATCAAAGCTGATTGTGTGATCTCCCCTCAACCTCCCAGATCCCAGGTTCCGTGAGTAGCACTAATATTCAGCCTGGTGAACACGTCATCTGCAAGTCCTGGCAGTTTTACCTCGCTAATTTTTCTTTTCCTCAGTCCACCACTTTTTAAAATGATAATGACATTAGCAAACATTTGCTTAAGGCTTATATGCAAGGCTCTGTGCTAAGTGTTTTGTATTCATTAATTCATTTAATCCACCCTACAATCCTATGAGTTAGGCTTTAATTTCTGTTTGGCAGATGAGCAGATGGAGGCAGAGAAATGTTAAGCGCCTTGCCCTAGTTCACACAGCTAATACATGAAAGGGCTGAGGGCTGGATCTAGTTAGTCTAGCTGCACAGTCTGCCTTAAAAAGAATTTTTTTTAATTGAAGTATAGCCAGTTTACAGTGTTGTGTCAGTTTCTGGTGTACAGCATAATGTTTCAGCTGTACATATACATACATGTATTTATTTTCATTTTCTTTTTCATTATAGTTAACTACAAGATATTGAATACAGTTCCCTGTGCTATACAGTAGACCCTTGTTGTTTATCTATTTTATATATAGTAGTTAGCATCTGTGAATCTCAAACTCTCAATTATCCCTTTCTACCCCTATTCCCCCCCTGGTAACTAAGTTTGTTTTCTATGTCTGTGAATCTGTTTCTGCTTTGTAAATAAGTTCATTTGTGTCTTTTTTTTTTTTTTTTAGATTCCACATGTAAGTGATATCAAGTGGTATTTTTCTTTCTCTTTCTGGCTTACTTCACTTAGAATGACGATCTCTAGGTCCATCCATGTTGCTGCAAATGGCATTTTATTCTTTTTTATGGCTAAGTAATATTCCATTGTATAAATATAGCACAACTTCTTTATCCAGTCATCTGTTGATGGATGTTTAGGTTGCTTCCTAATGTCTTGGGAATTGTATGTAGAGCTGCTATGAACATTGGGTGCATGTATCTTTTCCAATTAGAGTTCCCTTCATATATATGCCCAGGAGTGGGATTGCTGGATCACATGGTAAGTCTTTTTAAAGTTTTTTAAGGACTCTCCATACTGTTTTCTGTAACAGCTGCACCAAACTGCATTCCCACCAATGGTGTAGGAGGGTTCCCTTTCTCCACACCCTCTGCAGCATTTATCATTTGTGGACTTTTAGATGATGGCCATTCTGTACTTCAGACTATATCATCTTGTGCCCATAGGCTGTAACAGCTTCATCTTTTGGTATTCAGTTCTTTCATCCTTCCATCATTTCTCCACTGTAGCCAGGATTGTGTGTTTTTTTAGTGATAGTTGATACTTACAAAAATACACATAACATATGAAAGATGTAGAAACCCCTATACAGCCATACAATGGAATACTACTCAGCAATAAAAAGGATTGGACTATTGATGACAAGTAACAAAATGGATGAGTCTCAAAATATCTACAGAGTGAAAGAAGTCGGTACTATATTATTCTACTTATGTAAAGTTCTAGAAAATTCAACAAACTCACCTCTAGTGACAGGAAGCAAATCAGTTGTTGTCTGGGGATAGGAGGGAGATGGGGAGAAGAGTGAGATTATGGATTACAAAGGATGGATATGTTCACTGGATAATGGTGAGAAGTTCATGTGAGTAATATGCCAAAACTGATCAAATCTTACACTTGAAATATGTGCAGTTAAATATGTGTATTTGATTATATCTGAATAAAAACTGTATAAAAATATATGTGCTATATATCTAAGCTAGGGAAAATAATAATGTAGTGAAAATTAGTGAACCCATCCCCAAATTAAGAACTTGAACGTCACCCACAGTGCTGAATGCACCCGAGGGCTCCTCCCTGTCCATCCCCATGCCTCCTCTTAGAGGTAACCAAGATCTTGAATTTTGGGGTTTTCCAAGTCCTTTTTGTTTTGCCTTACTATATACGATATGTATTTTTTTTTAACAAATTTATTATTTAGTTTCTCCTGTTTTGACTTTATGAGAAGTGTCATGCTACATGTAGTCTTCTATAACTAGCTTTTTTCCCTTAGTGTTTTAATGTTTACTCACATAATTTCTGGTAGCTGTGGTTCACACATTTTCACTGTTGTATAATTAATAGTCATTGTGTGACTATTCCATGATTTGAATATCTACTCTTCCACTGATGGCCAGTTGGAATGTTTCCAGTTTTTACTGTTACTAACAATAGTAAGTAAACATTGTGACATTCTCATTAATCTCTTTCTCCTGGGGCACAGGTACAAAAGCTTCTTTAAAGCAAATGGCTAGGAGTGAAATTGCTGGTTGCAGGATACTGCATGCTCAGTGCTACCAGATAATGCAAACTGATGATCAAAGCGGTTGTACCTGTTTATATCTCCTCCAGTAGGATTAAAAAAATACATACTCTCACAACAAGGACCTACTGTATAATAGCAAAGGAAACTTAAATATCTTGTAATAACTTATAATGGAAAAGACTCTGAAAAAGAATATATACATGTATATGTATAACTGAATCCCTTTGCTGAAACTAATACAAATTGTAAATCAACTATACTTCCATAAGAATACATTTTAAAAAGAATTATTTAAAGATAAAAAAATGAAATAAAGATGAAAAAAAAATTTTACTAACCATAAAATTGAACAATCAGTTTAAAGTTTAGCTTTCTATTACAAATTAATTTGCGAGTAAATTCAGCCTCAATCTCTAAAAACAAAAAAATAATAATCTCATTAATTGCTGGTACTGCCATACTTTGTGATTTTTACCAGGGAAACAACTTGATATCACACTGAGGTATTAATTTTACATATATCCAAATGCTACTGATTATTTATCTAATTACTAATTATTAATGTAGAATTTATTTAATTACTAATGATGTGGAACATCATTTCATACATTTCTTCATGTGAGCTTCCATTTTTGTGCAACACCTGCGTATGGTTTCTTTCCCCAATTTTTTGTTGAATTTTTTTGTCCTTTTGAAATAGATTTGAGGAGGTTTCTTTCTTTCTTTCTTTCTTTCTTTCTTTCTTTCTTTCTTTCTTTCTTTCTTTCTTTCTTTCTTTCTTTCTTTCTTTCTTTCTCTTCCTTCCTTCCTTCCTTCCTTCCTTCCTTCCTTCCTTCCTTCCTTCCTTCCTTCCTTCCTTTCTTTCTTTCCTTCTTTTTTTTTTTTATATTCTGTATACTGATCTTTTCTTAGCTATATATACTATAAAAATCTTACCCTGGTGTATGTATATCCAGATGGGCCATGAGGTGACAAGGGCACGTTTCCTTGAAAGACAGAGTCTACTTCTTAGCTTGGGCCGGTTGTTCCAGTGTGGCAAGGTCTTCCAATTAAAAAGAAAATATTTATGCAAAATCCCTCAATGTTTGAATGTTGTCCAGATGTTCTCTTTAGCATGAAATGGACAAATGTCCCAAGACAGATAACTCCCACATTTAAGGACCCTCAGAGGAGACTGAGAAGTGCAGTGAGGGCCAATCATGGAGCCAAGGACGTGAGCATCTCTATGAGGAGGAAAGCTTAGCAAAGGCTGCTGGGTACCAGCACTTGAAGTTGTTAGGTTTCTTTTTTCTCCGAGGACTAGTAGAGTTTTAAATTGTATGATCCTAACACTTTTCTGAGGATATAGTTTACTCACCCTACCTGGATTCAAGCTCCAAGACAATGGAATGTGTCTTTCTCCAAAATTGACCATCGTTTGCTTTTCTTCACAAACAGGAGTCCAGAGCCTGGACAGAAAGTTCAAGAAAATGCATTAGAAATGTCTACTCCTTAAGTTGACCTTGTTCTGCATTTGAGAGCACTGGTTTGATTTTGTGGTTGTTATGAACAGCTCCTGCGTACAGACACATCACACCCTCATTTGTGGGGCATTATTAGGCCAGCAGGTGGCATTTTAGGGAATTAATTTACCTACTGCTTTTGTTAGAAGGAAGATTCTGGGACTTTGTGCAGTCACTCAGTCTGCATGGGGCTGGGGATGGCAGCGATCATTTCTCTGTGGGCGATGCTGTCATAGGAACTATGCTAAGTAACGAGTGTGCTCTTTTCTGTTTGCTAGTTAAGCGTATATGGAAACTCCAGTTGGCACTTTGATGGAGTACGAAACCAATGCTATTTTCACCAGTTTACAAAAGAGCAACCTGATTTAAACTTCCGTAATCCTGATGTTCAAGAAGAAATAAAAGTGAGTATAGCCACCCACACAAACTTCTCCATTACACAGGTGCTTAAGTGGTTATTTGATACACTTTATGTTGAATGGTAATTGTGCGGGCAAAACCAGGCAGTATAACTAAATTCTGGAATTAGGGTGTCTGATGCCAATAGAGACTCTGAGGCGTGTCGGTGGCCCCTTCCTTCCTCTAACCCCAAAGAATCGAAATGGGAGGGAGAGGAAAACACCTGTTACTTTAGCTCTGAGTTGCCCCTCTGCCTGTGATGAGCTGGTGCAGTGAGGTGGGCCAGACCGGGGCTCCCGGATCCAGCTCCCGTGACTGGACCCAGCCCCACCATCGGCTGCAGAGGACTTCTAGGTGAGTTACTGGGCTTTTCTGTGTCTTGGATCCCTCATCTATGAAACATAATCGATGGCAGGCTTTGTCTCAGAGGACTTTTGGGAATATGAGGTGAGATAACCCATGCACAACACTTCTGTGTTCACTCAGTAAGTATTAACTTACTGTCTGCGCCACGCCGGGTCCCATTCTCAGCGCTGGGAATGCGGCAGTGAGCGAAAGGCGCCCTGCGCGCAAGGAATTCCCAGCATACCGAGGGGAAGGCAGACAGTGAACGGCTGAATATATACCACGTCAGGTGCTGATGAAGGTTTAGGGTAAAGAGCTTCGGAGTGCCAGGGAGAAGCTGGTTCAGAGACACTGCTATGATGAGGTCCTGTTTGCACAAAAACCTGATGTTTGAAGGGGAGCCCTGTGAACATCTGGGGGGAAGAGAATTTCAGACAGAGAGAAGAGCAAATGCACAGTTCTCTTGGGGGTGGGGGGGACTGAGCTCTTCGTGTTTCAGAAATGACCTGAAGGCTGGTGCACTGGGCCGCCAGATACAGCAAATGAAATTACAGGACACTCAGTTAAATTTTAATTTCCAATGAACAATGGATAGTGTAATATTTGAGACCTGCTTCTACTTAAAAATTATTCATTGCTTACCTGAAATTAAAACTTAACTGGTCATCCTGTGTTTTACCTGGCAACCCTACCAGTGCACTGCAGTGGAATGAGGGAGAGTTAGGGAGCTGGGGTGCAGAAAGGAGGCTGGGGCCTTGAAGCCCATAAGGCCTTGACTGCTTTGTAAGGGAGACATGCAGAGCCACAGAAGATTCCTCTGTGGTTCATACAGAGTAGATTTCCCACAGTGACCCAGGTGAGGTGACCTGTGTGGTAGCAGTGCCAACAATAACCTGACACATAATTCACAGTACACATCAGCCATATTACTGCTGTCATTACTGCTACTGCTGTGGCCATAATGGGCGAGACTTTAGGTTACTGGGGTGGCATGCTGCGGTGGCCGGGAGGAGATCCAAACAGAACACATCAGAGAGATGCGGGTCCCTTTCTAAAGCTCGCCATGTCAGCCGGAGGAAGAGGATGCAGGCTGCCACGTTGGAGTCATAAGGGCACCTGCTTCCCTTACTTTGTTCTCATTTTGTTTTTAATAAGTTTTATTGCATTATAATTTACATACTTTAAAATTCACCCCTTTCAAGTGTATAATTCAGTGGTTTTAGTATATTCACAAGCATCACTACTAATTTCTGAACACTTTCATCACCCCCAAAAGAAACCCCATATCCATTAGAAGTCACTCCTGTGGTCCAGTTACTTCCTCCCTGAGCCGTGGCAGCCACTAACCTGCTTTCTGCCTCTCTGGATTTGCCTGTTCTGAACGTTTCGTATAAATGGAACCACACAGTATCTATATGGCTGTGATATATAGCTGTAGTTATAATCTGTATCTAAATATTTGAGAAACTGTTTTCCAAAGCAGCTGGCCCATTTTACATTTTTACTAGCAATATACGTAGGTTGCGGTTTCTCTGCATCCTCACCCACCAACACTCGTTACTGTCTGTATTTTCGATTATAGTCATCCTAGTCGGTGTGAAGTGGTGTTTCATGGACATGCGTTTCCCTGGTAGCTAATGGTGTTGAGCATCTTTTCATGTGCTTATAGTTTGTCTATTTTCATTGGACAAATGTCTATTCAAATCATTTGTCCATTAAAAAACTGTGTTATTTGTCTTTTTTTGCTGTTGAATTATGAGAGTTTTTCATATACTCTGGGTATGTGATTTGCAATTAGCTTTCTTCCTTTCTGTAGGTTGCCTTTTAACTTTCTGCTTCATTCCTTTGCATGTAGCTCTCCAGTTATCCCAGCAACACATGTTTACAAAAACTTATTCTCTCACCGTTGAACTGTCTGGGAACCCTTGTGAAAATCAGTTGATCATCAATGTCAGGGTTTATTTATTTCTAGACTGTTCTGTTCCATGAATCTGTATGTCTGTCCTTAATGCCAGTACCATGTTGTCTGCATTGCTATAGTAATGCTTAGAATAAGCCTAACTTAGGAGATTTTATGACCATTTTACACAGAAGGAAATTGAGGCATAGAGAGGTGAAGTCACCCACCTTGGGAGTGAGGGAACAGGATTCAAACCCAGGCACCGTGATTCCAGAGTCCACGTTCTTGTTCACAACTCCACACCTGATTTGGCGCACATTGTTTCTCTCTGTGTGTTTCACTTTTCCAGCACAGTTTTTGCAAGGAGGTTTTCAACTGGAAAGTCATAAATGGGAGAGTGTGAACCAGATGGTTTATCAGGCAGCAGATTTCTCTAGGCTCCTTGGGGCAGTAGTGATGGATTGTTTGGAGATGTTTAGACGAGTGTGAGAGATCTTGCTGTAATGTGCCCGCAATACGTTAATTATTTTTTGACTAACCCAGCTGTTCTCTTGCAGTCACTCAAGTAATGGAAGATGTGAATAGGAGCCTTATTTACTAGTCCTGCAGGATAGAATCCTTCTTGAGATGAATCATTACTGCCTCTGGTTGAGAGGTTAGCCATTTTTGGAAGGCTGGTTTAAAAGATTTACTATTAGAAGTAAATAAGAAAGGCTGAAAGCTGGAAGGGAGGGAGGGCTCTTTGCTTTTGGAAAGGGACCTTTCACACGAGGGGACTTCTGACACCCTCCTGCCCTCCGGCAGCACTTATCTCTGCCGCAGAGTTAAGGAGGTTAATAATTTGCAGCCGCAAGGGCTTGTGGTGGGGAGGCATTTGGACTGACTCCTGCTTGTGCTCACAGAGCCTGAGCCTTCTTCCTCCTGATTCCCATCAGATTTCAGTTTCTCTGCACACTGGGAGGCTGGCGTGCTGGGCACATCCCACCTGGGCCACTTTACAGAGAAGGAAACCGAGGCTTAGAGCCCAGAGCACCCTCCTCCCTCCTCTTTGTCCTTCCCCCTGCGCTGGCCCTTAGGGGCCTCGGCCCTGCCCTGAATCTCTCGGGGCTTGAGTGTTTTCAGCTAGAGAAGTCAGGAAGTCTTCTCAGAGGAGGTAGGGACTTACATTTGTATAGTATTTTTTTCCCAATCACTTCAGTTTTTATTTGCCCTGCATATCCCTTATTTGACAAAGGAGGGAATTGACCCCCGGAGAGGTGAAGAGACCCAGTGGGTTAGGTGCAGAGCAGGGAAGAAACTCCGGTTGGCCTGGACCCACTATGGGGATCACTGAGTTAGGGTGTTCACAGCAGCTGGGGACCAGGAGCCAAGATGCCCTCCTGGCTTACGATGGCCTCCAGAGCATAAATGTTGGCTCTGCTCTGCGCTTACTGAGCATGGCATTGCTAGGGACAAGGAGCTCAGTTCAAAATCAGACTTACTCACTACCTGCTTTATAAGCCAGCTCTGTGCTTCATGCTAATAACGGCCCCATTTATTGCCCTGCCAATATGCCGCGCACTTCGTTATAAATCATTCACTTACTTAACAATGTGTGTTGTGTATTAACCAAACATCGGGGTCTGATGGTCGGTAAGGCAGACACAGGGTTGTGGCGGTCATGGGCTATCACATTATCTTATGGAGGGCAAGGTGGACCGACAGGAAATTACAACAAAGTGCACTGAGTGATCTTGTCAGTGGGGTCAGTGGCAAGTCAGAGTATGCGAGGCAGGCACCTCACCTGGACGCAAAGTAGGAGAGACTAAGAAAGGGTTTTCAGAGGAAGCAGTGATACCTAGAGGATGAATAAAAATGAGCCAAGTGAAGAGACACATGTACAGAGAAGGGATGTGACTGGACAAGACTAGATAGGTTGGTAGGAACCAGGTCATGAGCAGCACTGGAGGCCATGGTAGAGATTTGGGCTTAAAAGCAGGGAAATAATTTTTGATTTGCATTTGGAAAAAATCAGTTTAATTTTGGAGAGGGGTTTGAGTAAGGCAGGTTTAAAGGCACAGGGACCGGGGAGGTGGGTGGTGCGGTCATCAGGGAAAAATGGTGGGGACTTCGGGCCAGTGAGGGTGGTGTGGGATTGCAGAGAAGTCATCCGGCTTTAGAGAGGAGCCTGGTGTGACCCCCAGGTTTCAGATTCGAAAGCTAACTGGGTGATGGTGCCATTTCCTGAGATGGGAGACACAGAAAGATTGGGGGCGGCGGGTGGGCATGGTCTTAGTTGTGTGGAGTTTGAGCTGTCTGTGAGACATCTGAGTGTTCAATGGACAGCTGGATATAATGCCATGGAGCTCAGGGGAATTCTGGTCTAGAGATAAAACTTCGGGGTTTGTCGACATGGACAGTGCCCACAGAGGTCAGGCAGGTAATATCAGTGGGAGAACTGGGCCGGCTGAGTTGAACAAGGGGGCCAGTTGTAACTTAGCTCGAGTGGATTGTGGTCTGTGGGAATGAGCTGTTAGCAGGTCCTCCAATTAAAAAATGAAAATCAAGGAGGGCTGCACAGCAAATGGATAAGAGTGCCACCGGGTTCCAGTTCTGAGGCACCACTTACTTGCCACATGACCTTCATCAAGGTACATCGTCTTCTTGTGCCTCAATTCCCTCGATGATAAAATAGGAACAATAATGGTACATACTTTGTGGGGTTGTTTCGGGATTCCATGGTTTAACCTTTGTGAAGCTCTTAGGACAGTGTGTTCCTTATTGTGTAAGTACTTGTTAAATAATCAGTAAATGATAGATAAATGAGTAAATACAGCTGTGAAGTGAAATGAACAGAGGGTGTAAGATGGAGCCCAGAGGAGTATTAATCGTTAAAGGACTGCAGAGCAGACAGAGGAGGGGCAAACCAGGAGCGTGGTATCCTGGGCTAAGGGCCATGAGTATTTCTAGAAGACAAGGTTAGTCAGCAGTGTCCAGCATGGCAGAGAGATCAAGTAATGTAAAGACCAAAGTGTCAGTTGACTCTGGCAGCAATAATTCATTTAATCCTCATAAAATCCCTGCAAGGGAGGTTATTATTTTATTGATGAGGAAACTAAGGTTTACCGAGGTCACGCAGATGACCTAACTCAGGGAGCTGAACACTGGGGCAGACGGGATGGTACCCAGATGGGTCAGATTCTTGAGCCCCTGAGCCTTCCTCTCTGTCCTGCTCCTGGAGGAGTTAGCGAAGAATTTTACCAAGATTTCTGAAGAACAGTAGGGTCAGTTTTCTTTCCTCTGCCCCTAAGCAGAGGATGCAGTTTTCTGTCTGTATTTTTGAAACCTTCTATGCTGTTTCATTCCTTCTTGAGTTGGAGACCTGGGATTTATGTCATTCTCAAGAGGGTGTCTTATATATCATCACGTGTAAGAGCAGAGCTTTTCTCTGTCTCAAGCCTGGCTTTTTAGGTAAATGGACCCAGTAACTTCAGTCATCTCAAAAGGAAGGGTTTGCCTCAGGGTTTTGAGAATATGGGTGTCAGTAATGTCCAACTGACTCCCTTTTCTACTCAGAGCAGCGAGTTGTTTAGGGAGAAAAGAATGAAAATGTGCCAGTGGAAGAATCAGGACTGTGTGATGTTGTGGGAGTTGGATGGGAATCGGGGACATGGTGTACTGTCCTCAGAGTCCCATGGTCCCCGCATGTGTCACCCAGACCAGGAGGAATCAGGCTGTGTGCCCATTTCCGTGTCCGGCACCCTGGGGGAGCTTAATTGGCATGAAGAGAGGGTTAATGATTAAAATCTGGAGCTCTCTTTTTTCACCTGGTTGAGAATAAGTAGCACGAAGCAAATATTTTTCGAGATCAAATTTTAGATTATCTGGGTGAAAAACCTCAGCATTTGAAATTTTACCCTCATAAACAAGCATCCAGGTTTTGCTGTTTTGTCTCATCAGACAATGATAACACCTCTCACTGGACTGCAGTGAAAATCCCTGCCAGGCCATATGTCTGTGCTGGGGTGCCCATTTCTCATTCTTTAAAGTTGGGTCAGTGATTAGCAATGCTGAGATCCCCAGCATGAATGAGGACTCCATGAAGAAAATAAGTAGCTTTATTCTAGGAAATCAGTGCTCAAAAGCTTACTGTTTACAAACGGCATGGTGTTTAATGTTTCTCCACGTTTTTGTCAGAGGCTGCCTGGATCCATTATGGTTATCTGTGCCCCAGCCCCACCCCGATCCTCTTCCAAAGTTCCTGCTGGTAAAGAACAGCGCCACCTGGGGGTGGACCCGGGTTGTGTGTGATCTGAAGCTTGTAAAATATGGGGCCTTCTGAAAATAAAGAGAGTATAAAATTAGGCACAGAAAAAAAATGAGTGTTTGTTTAGAAGGAGAAAAGAATGTGGGTTGAAAGGGGCTCACACAGTGAAGGGTCCTGAAACGTAAGCTTGGTTAGCTTCATGCTAAGTGGGCGCTTGGAGCCCACGACCACAGATGAGGAAAGTCTCCATACAGATCCTTTTCTACAGATAAGGTGCCTTCCTATCTGGTGTCTTCTCTGGCCGAATCTCTAACCAGCTGCCTTCACTTCCTGCCCTCCCGCTGTGCTGATCTCCCAGGCAGATCCTGCTCTTTCGCAGGCTTGTATTACCATGTTCCTCTCCTTTAAAGCTTGATCACACCTGTGGTTTAAACATTTTTGCCTTACTGTTTGTCTAGTTGGGGATTCTAAAAAATCCATGAGACCTAGGACTGTGTCTACGTTGTATCATATTTTGCTCACGGTTGTAATTCCAGGGCTTAGCTAAGTGCCTAGTCGCAGTTAGAATTCAAATACTTTTTTTTCTTAATTGAAATATAGTTGATTTACAATATTGTGTTAGTTTCAGGTGTACAGCAGAATGATTCAGTTTTATATATATATATATTTTTTTTTCAGATTATTTTCCATGAGAGGTTTATTACAAGATGTTGAGTATAGTTCCCTGTGCTGTGTAGTGAATCCTTGTTTCTTATCTATTTTATGTATAGTAGTTTGTATCTGTTAACCCCAAGCTCCTCCTCCCTCCCTTTCCCCTTTGGTTTGTTTCCTATGTCTGTAAGTCTGTTTCTGTTTTGTATATAGATTCCCAATACTTATTGTATAAATCAATTTGATAAGGAGTAAAGATGCTAGTAAGAATAAATCTGTGGGCTTTCTGCCCCAAATAAAAATTCCACTGGGTAGAGCCAGGTTAAGATTATTCAGGTCATCTGTGTCCATGACAAGCGTTGTCAGCAGCAGAGCCTGCTCTTAGATTTGAAAAATTTATTCAAGCTTTGCCATTTAAAATCTCACCTTGAAGGGAATTGACAACAGCAGTATTAAGCCTGTATTCTGCACAGAGAGACCTTTGGACCCTTGAACTGCAGCACTCCAGAGACCCCATATCCACATGTAGATACAAGAAACACACTTCATTCTTTGTTTTTTTTTTAATTGAAGTATAGTCAGTTTACAGTGTTGTGTCGATTTCTAGTATACAGCATAATGTTTTAGTCATACATATACATACATGTATTTCTTTTCATATTCTTTTTCATTATAAGTTACTACAAGATATTGAATATAGTTCCCTGTGCTGTACAGAAGAAACTTGTTTATTTTCTATATGATAGTATCTGCAAATCTCAAACTCCGAATTCATCCTTTCCCACCCCCTATGCCCCGGGGTAACCGTAAGTTTGTTTTCTAAGTCTGTGAATCTGTTTCTGAAAAAACACACTTAAAATCAAACAAGTGATTTAGGGGACAGTGCTCCTTTGGGATCTATAGCTCTGTTCCCCCCACTAGATGAAATCGGCGACTTCACCCTAGTACTTTAAATAACAGGAGGTTCTACTCTAATGTGATATACACACATTCCTGTAAAATCTTCCTTTCAGCAAGGATTGAGCTGAAGGGAGAGGTGGGAGGGCCACTGGCCCTTTGCAGAAGGGAAGCTCTCGGTGGGTGCAGGAGTAGACCCAGCTGGGAGGGGTTGCCTGGGGGTGGGGAGGGGAGCTGAGACCTGTGCCCTCCGCTTTTCAAGGTCCCCTGGTCCTCCTAACCGCCCCGATACAGGTCAAGTCAGTCTCTGCCTCCAGGCTTGGCTCATGCTGTCCCACCACCAGCCCAGAACGTTCTTCCAGATCTCACTCCCTGACGAAATCCTACTGGCCAAGTTCAAGCTCTAGCTTTTCCTTGACTGGTGGAGCCCACCCCTGTTAAAGTTGACCTTGGAGCTCTAGCAGCCCTCAGATGGAGAAATCTCCTCTTGTGATGTTGAATAGCATCCTGCCTTGCATTAGGTAAACTTCTCATGTCTCATGAGTCCCCAGCAACTCTGTAGATGCCTCGCAGCCAGGGGTCGTTCTGTCCTTTTTCAGTCCCAGCAGCATCACACCACGTTTGACTCATTCAGGCTTGATACCTCATTCTTTCATTCCACGACTGGTTCCCTAAGTAGAGGGTGCTGTGTCGGTGACAAGGGAAGCAGAAATGAAAGGTGCAGTCTTTCCCTCAAGACTCTCCCCGTCTGGTGGGAGAGCCCTTCATGACTGGGTGCTTAGTTGGTTATTTTCTCTCACTTTGGAGTGACCTTTAAGGAACTAGGCATGGAGGAGAAGAGCTATGTTCCCAGTTTCTCCCGAGTCCTATCTTTCATTGTGGTTTCATGCTTTCATTTTAAGTGGATTCTTTAAACTTTCGGAGCATGCTCATAGCATCAATTACCAGTGTAACATTTTCTGAATTCAAATATGAGGGAAGAATGGGAGCGCGTAATTGCACTTATTCAAAGTTCATCATGTTCAGACCCTGCTGTGCTCCATAGGTCACAATATGCTACTGAGGGCTGTGCTTGTTTTGTATGTGGAGGTGACCTATGATGGAAAGTCATTAACAGACAAAACCTCTATTAAACCTTATGAAAACAATGTGTAGTTAATGTAACTAAGCATTTTGCTTCTTTATGTTTAGGAAATTATACAGTTCTGGCTCTCAAAGGGTGTGGATGGCTTTAGTTTCGATGCTGTTCAATTTCTTCTAGAAGCAAAACATCTGAGAGACGAGGCCCAAGTGAATAAGACCCAAACTCCGGTAAAGTTTTGTTTTAAACATATATATATACACACACACACGTTTTTTAAAAGTATACTTAAACATATGTTTACATATATTATATATATATATATTATATATACTCTTTCTCTTCCAAAAATGTCGCATGTTTTCCTTTTTGGCCTGAGACACCTCTTACCAGAGGTGAGTTCTGTCCTGCCTATGAGAAGAGCTTTGCATCATTTTCTCTAGGAAATACAGAGGAGTTTCAAATGCATGCTTCCTTCCACTGGTTTCCTCTGGAGAGATCCCTTGAGGAGTTCTTCGGTGACAAGGGTTCTGAGGGGCATGGACAGTGTGGACTCCGCCAAGGGCCGATCTCTTCTGCTGGCAGAATCCAGGCTCTTTGTGCTTCCACATCCAGGGTACTCAGCCTTCCCCAGTGACAGGTAGTAAGCACATGCCACCCCCATCCCTCTTGCTGACCACTATTCTACAGTGGCTCTGTTTTCAGTGGCCAAGTAGACAGTAGTCCTCAAATATATCCTGAAATAAAGGATTTGTATATTTATGCCATGGAGTGTCAAAATAAATGAATTGGGGGGAGGGTATAGCTCAGTGGTAGAGTGCATGCTTAGTATGCACAAGGCCCTGGGTTCAATCCCCAGTACCTCCAGTAAAATAAATAAATAAATAACCTAATTCCGTCCCACCCAAAATTTAAAAAAACAATAATGAGTTATAGTGACACACAGCTATATTGGTCAATCTTAGTGATGTAATTTATAGCAAAAAAAATCTAAAATTATTATATATAGCCTGATGCCCTTTCTAGAAAGTAAGTAAAATGAAATTCACATGGTTATCAAGTTTATTATCAACTTGATAGTTTTTTCTGAGTAATAAAGGGAGGCTGGCCATGCATAGGCTAATTGTGAGGCCATGTTATGAACCAAAGCTTATGATTAAGCCATTTTTTTTCTTTGCACACGACTTCAGTAGAAAGGAAAAATGAAGGGGGAAAAAGGTCATGTATTAGCCAGTTGTGCCCAAGAGAAGCATTGATCCTTGGAGAAGTCTCAAAATAACCTTACTAATTATAATGAGATATCATGAGATAGACATACGTTTCCAGTCATGGCAAATGATCAGAAGAATGGGTTTTGTGTGCTACCTAAGAAAAACATAAAGAGCATGTAATTTCACAACGACATCTAAGATTTCAAAAAACTTCACTTGATCTAGCAAGGGAAAATCACTTATAAAAAAGGGGTTCCCCTGAATGGATGGCAACACATGGACTGCCTAGTCTGTCCATGTCCTAACCCAGGACTTACAGCCTGAGCTTGTATTAGACATAATCTTTTATTTTGAATTCTAGAAGAAAAATTACTGAAACCCGGGAAAGTATAACAGTTAAGAATAAAGGATATAAGTGGTAAAGAATCAAATTTAAATGCATGATGTTAATAATCTGTGAGCCGATCAAGTACAAGTGTAATAATGCACTCTATAATCATTAACATTATTTATTTTGTTTGCCTTTAGAAATTCTTGGAGCATTTGGGACAATAAAATGTGTAAGGGGAGGATTTTATTAAAGACACCTGTAATCAATGTTTAGATGTTTGATAAAATTTAACTTGTTTACTAGATTTATAGTTAGTAATTTAAGCAACAAATGAAATGCTAATAGTTCTGAATGTTCTTCTCCATCCACAAAATCCCTTAGGCAGTGAAAGTCCTCGGACCATCTTTGAGCACGTGTGTTTCAGCTTGAAGCCTTTGGCCCTTTGAAGAGACAGTCCATACTCACATAAGGCTGGTTGTTGGGCATTTGACATGTGACATGATGGTAACCGGGCTGTCCTATTTTCACAGGACATGGTCACACACTACTCAGAGCTGTACCATGACTTCACCACCACACAAGTGGGGATGCACGACCTTATCCGCAGCTTTCGGCAGACAATGGACCAGTATAGCAGGGAGCCTGGGAGATACAGGTAACCACAGGTCACACTTCTATTCTTGACAGGCGCAGCGTGTGATCTGCAGTTTATTCCTCATAAGCAGGCATTCTCAAGAGGTTCAAATTATAATTTAACAAACTGGCGTAATTATAATGTATGGTAACTCAGTTATGCCAGGCTTGGGATAATCTCATGTTGCTTAATTTTCCTGATTTTCAGTTTCCTCTTTTATAAAATGATGCTAATTACAGTACTTATTCACAGGAATTTTTTGAAAATTAATTAAAAGATTAATTAATACATTATTTAAATGTTAGCCATTAGCTATTATTTTTATCATTATTTGACCTGTTAGTGTCTTTGTATAGTATGAATCCAAATGTTCCAACTAAACTGTCAGTACAGCATGATAGTGAGGAGCATCTTTGGTATCAGATGAGCTTAAGGTGGATTCCTGTGACCTTGGACTGGTTAGTTAACCTAAGTCTCAGCTTTCTCATAAATTAAAAGGTGATGAGGGGAGGGTATAGTTCAGTGGTAAAGTGTGTGCTTAGCACTCACGAGGTCCTGGGTTTAATTCCCCGTAGTTCCACTTAAAAAATAAATAAACCTAAGTACCTCCCCTACCCCAAGAAAAATGTTAAGAAAAGGTGATAGGGCTACCCCTATAAGACTATCGTGAGATTACATGAGATAATGTCTGTGAAGCACTTAAAGAAGTGCCTGGCACATAATAAACACTCAGTCAACTTAATTCTTACCATGTTTATATAGATCACCCAACAGAATCAACAGAAAAGGATTTAAAGAAATTTCTTCTCCTTAAAGTGGGTCCTTGTATCATTGTGCCCATTTTACAGACGAGAAAACTGACACTTTGACCATGTAGGTAATGGTCAGATAATAATGGCAGAGACAGGATGGAACTGAAACACCTGAGCTCCAGATACTATGTACTTATCCATTAACATAACACCTCAAACAGCTAAAGCTAGCATTGATGTGGGTCATTTCAGGCAAATGTGTCTTCCTCAAAGAGTTGTTTTCAACAATCGAGAGTACACTCCAGTAATAAAATGAGACTTTACAGGGATTTCACTACAAGGGGAAGTTTTTGGGGAACCTCCCCCCTTACCTTATATACAGACATATACTGTACGGTCTAGATGGAGTGATGAGAATTGCTAAAGAATGTCTTCCTGGAAGTTAATGAGTTTCAATCAGTTTTAGAAAGAAAAGGACAGTATTGACTGAGATCCAAATAAATGTGTTTCTTAACTTTTAGACAGCAGTGCCTGGTATTAGGCTAGTGTTTGGGTCTATTATGATGAGAAATTGCCAAGTGACCCAGCGTGCCATTTCTCGGTCATCCGGCTTGAGTGCACGCCCAGTGAGCCCTAGCCTGATACGGTCATAGTGTGCACTTACCCCCGACATTCTGTCTGTTGGATGTGAGCAGCTGCAGAGCGCTCTCCCATTCTCCTGACAGACCCTGAAGGTGCTACACCTGCCGATTCTTACAGGTTCCTGGGGACGGAAGCCCATGGAGAGAGCATTGCCAAGACCATGATGTACTACGGGTTGCCTTTTATCCAGGAAGCCAACTTTCCCTTGAACAGTTACCTCAGTAAGCTAGACACCCCTTCTGGGAACAGAGTGTTTGAGGTTATCACATCCTGGATGGAAAACATGCCAGAAGGAAAGTGGCCTAACTGGATGGTAAGTCCTTATGCCCAGCTTATGCTTGCGGAAAAAGTCACCTCTGAAACAAGGGGTACACCTGTCCGTAAGTGACCTTCACTCTTCCCTTATTCTGTGATTGTGTGTTGAGCCGTCCCAGCTCCTGACCAGTTCCTGTCATTCTTTTCCTTCTGGTTCTCAGAAGATAATCTCAACTCATCTGCCTTATTGGCCACTTCCTCACCAGTTCACATCTGTTAGGCCCCTCTCGTGACTTTTTCATTTTAGTTTTTGTAGTTTTCAACTCTGAAATTTCTATTTGGCTTTTATAATTTCTCTTTATAGATAGTATCTACTAGATAAGATGTTGGTTATTCTCATATTTTTTAAAGAATTCTGTAGATTTCGTTTAGGTTTGTGAACACACGTGTACAGCTGACTTAAAGTCGTCCACTCAGTCCAGTGTTTGGGCTTCCGTTCCCTTGCTCTCCCCCTCTGCATGGGCCATACTTTCCCGTTTCTTTGAATGTCTTGTATTCTTTTTTGTTTAACACTGGGTGCTTTAAAATAGTAAGTGTAGACATTCTGGAAATCACATTCTCCCCTCTCCAGTGGTGGTTGTTTCTGCTTGTCTCTTTAGTGACTTTCTTGGATTAATTCTATTAAATCTGTGTTATTTGTTGTGTGTGGCCACTGATGTTTCTGCTTGGTCAGCATAATGGCTAGAAAGATTCCTTAAATGCCTTGAACCAGTTAGGTGTTCCAGCCTTTGCTGAGGGGCTGTGTGTAGGGGGCATGCTTTCAGCACTCTGGCAGGCAGCGTACGACTCTGAGCCTTCACTTTCTGCTTGCACAGAGCTTCAGGGTTAGCCAGAGGTGAGAGGGCAGAGCCTTCTCCGGGCACCTGCACAGCCCTGCATGTGTGTGTAGGCTTCTAAATTCCAGGGATGTATGAGTCTTTCAAAGTCCTTTAAGGTCATCTCATTCCCTAGCTTGTAAACTTCTTGGTCAATCTGTTCAGCCCGTTGGTAATCCCACTTTAGGCAGGTGTGATGATAATCAATTACTGCTGATTTTTGGCAAATGCCTTGGGGACAGGACTAGCTACTCAGTCAGCTCTGAGTCAGATCAGATAGAAAAATCCAACCCAAAGTAAGCTGCTAGAGAGGTCAAATGTGAGTTCTCTAGAGATGGAGCGCTTGGTGAACTCTAAACCTGTTCGTCCTCCAGTGGCTTCTAGGCTGCTGGTTTTTACACCTACTGTAAAAGGATCTGAGGGGGAGAAGCATAAGATTAGGGCCACTTAAAATGACACAAAGCTTGCTGTCCTTACAAGATGCAGCTGTTTTTTCTTAACTACTCCTGGATGGTTGTAAACCTTCAATTCCCAGAGTTTTAAAGTGGATTTTTGGTTTTTGCCAGTGTTCTCCTTGCTTTTGTGGAAGACACTTTTGGAGGTGCTTACTCCACCCATTCCGGAAGTAACCCCTATATCACAAACTTTATAATACACTTTTAAGCACTTTTCCCCCCATATATTTAATACACTGAACGTGTCACAGGTGACTGGACCTCTCTCAAGACTATGAAGGGCCCTGATCTCTGTCCACTGGTGATCTTGATTTCAGTTCTGAAAGAGCAAAGTGCTCTAGGTCCAGAAGGGTTTCTTGTCAGATGCTTTTGAGATAATGAAAATACTAAACAGTGGCAAAGTTTGACCTAATTTTCTGGCCATGAAAATAGAAAAATACTTTGCAATGGTCTGTAAAAAGATAATTGTAAAGATATTGTAAAGATATTAATTGTAAAGATAGATTTAAGGGAAAATAAAAACAACCTCCCTTTCCCTGAATTCTAACAACCGAGTTCCTATTCTCAGACTCAAGTTCAAAGGCTAGTTCTGCCTCATAACCTTGACCTGAATAAACTGCGCTTGTTTCGTCATTTGTAAAACGGAGGTAACACCTGGCAGCTCTGCAGTGGAGGGGTAAGCAGACTAAACCATGGGTGTGCCAGTCCGTTAAACAGCTGGGGAACATGGGAAGGTCTGTCAGGGGATTTAAATAAACTCTTAACTAAGGACTAGATGTCAAAATACATAATTAGAACATTTAACAGAGAACTGTACTTAAAAATAGAAAACCCTTTACAAAATTTCTTCTTGGACTCTAAATGTATTTTTACAAGTGATTTATCTTTTAACTTAAAATTTGTTTTGAAAAGTCACACACACACACACACACACACACAAAGGGACACATTAGAAGTATTTCTCCCACCCCTTCCCCTCTACCTGTTTCCTTCTTGGGTGAAACACTTTTGCTTTCTTTCCTGTCAAGAGTCTTTATCCAAATGTGTGAAAATATTAATATGCACCCTCATAAATTTCGTCCTATTTGCAATGTCATTGTGAAGTAAACTGTTACCACCATTTTCTTCAGTATAATAGCCAAGACAGTCAATTGGTCAATTATAAAGCAAAGAGCATGGTTAGGACTGAAGTTCAGGCTCGCTGAGTCCAAGGTACCCATGGCTAACCATGTTTCTCTGCCTGGTGAACTTCTTGTGAAATGGGGCAAACCTTCCAGAAAACTATGTATAGAGTTATGTTTTTAAAAAAAGGACCTGCCTTTCAGACTGGTGGACCAGACAATGCCCGGCTGACTTCTCGTCTGGGAGAGAAATACGTCAACATCATGAACATGCTCATTTTCACTCTGCCTGGAACTCCCATAACTTACTACGGAGAAGAAATAGGAATGAGAAATATTTTAGCCACAAATCTCAATGAAACCTACGATGCTGTAAGTTAATATAACTTAACCACACACCATATCAAATCCTCATTTTTTGCCAAATCAGAGAATTTACTATTTCTAGTCTACTGCTGAAAATCATGAGTGCTAGCTTTTATTTATTACTGTTTGATATTGAGAATTTCCAGCTTTTTTGATTGGGGAGCTTGTTAAAAATGCAGTTTCCTGAGCCACACAACTGCATTTTAAACACGTTTTCCAACTAATTCTTAGGTACACTAAAATTTGAAAAGCCATGTTTTGAGTTTGGAATATTATTCATTCCTGTCTACCTGGAACACAGAGTTAGGAACATTTCTTGTAGTGCTTGTCTGTATTGCTAGATCTTGTCTGACCACAGCACAAAATTCTTCCTTTTATTTAACAAATGTAATGTACAGGGTTAGGCCTGAGAGGTTTAAATTTTTTGTTTGAAGCTACAGATCACCAACTGTGCTCCTGGGCAGAAGAATGAGATCTTAAACCTGTAGTTTGTATGGCTAGCTTTCAATTGTATGAGATCCAATTTCCTTAATATTTGGCCGAAGTGAAACCTTTTCTATAGCTCCTGAATTTGTGTGAGCACTCATGCAATAACCAGTCTGGGTAAGAGGACAGAATCTAGACTCAGTATACATGCCTGCATCCTTGAATTCACCATCACCACTATCACAGTATGATGAGTTTTTAAGTGGCACATTTTGAAATCCTATGTTACTCATTTTTAGGGAAAAGCAGGAAAGATTCCAAGCATGTATCAATGTTTAGTTAGTACAGCTTATTCACACTCAAGATGTCATGAACTATTTTCCTATTGAAAGTGTAAAACTGGTTTATGTACTGAGTGTTAAGGCCTTTGCATTATGAATGAGTACTAGCTGAGAAATACAGGGAATTAAATAATTATGCAGTCAGTCACGGCCAAATTACATTTCTTTTCTTTTCTTTTTTTTGGTGTGGGGAGGTAATTAGGTGCTTTTTTTTTTTAAATGGAGGTATTGGGGATTGAATCCAGAACCTCCTGCATGCTAGGCAGGTACTCTACCACTGAGCTATACCCTACTCCCCTACATTTCTTTTAATAACCAGATCACTGTTTTTTCTTTATGGCCTTTTGACACAGGATACGCTTCTCTCAAAGTCACCAATGCAGTGGGACAACAGCTCAAATGCTGGTTTTTCTGAAGGTAGTCACACCTGGTTACCCACCAGTTCAGACTACCATACCGTGAATGTAGACGTAAGTATCAATGAACATTTCGTGCTGCTACAGGAACAGAAATGAGCTTCCGCTGCTGACAATATATACTCACCCTGAGTTGCCTAAAACCTTAACTTATGCTCTTTAAATCAGTCACATAGATGTCTCTTGTAGTTTTCATTTTTAAGGAGTTTGCAAGTCATGTTTTTGTGAAAATACAAACAAGTACGGAAGAGCTGGTATAATCAATCAATCTAGGGTAATGTGGACTTGAGAGCAAGGCTGCTTACCTACTGATGACATGAATAATCCCCAAAAGTAGCTGTTCTGGAAAAGCGCACCGTTCAGCTTTTGCTTATAGTATTTTCTGTTCTCATGGTGATCAGGTTTGCCGAATTCGGCTTAACAAATTTCCTAAACAGGAACACACTAATTCCACCAAAGTGTTAAATACATTTCCTTACACCAGAAAAATGTGAAATGGATTCAAGTGAGTTTCAGGTGTGGAAAACACAATCTAAACTACTTAAGGGGAAGATAAACTATTGGCATTACATGAGGATACTTAAAAGTTTTAGCCCCATCTACTAGATGCTCCGCAGATTATTCTGATACAGAAATTCAAGCTAACCCTCCTGTTCCCACAACTCCCTACTTCAGGCACCCCAGGGATAGCTTTGTTTTATATATTTGTAGTTCCTTGAAACACAAAAACTGTGTTTTGGATTAAGTGCACTTACTGATTTTCATTTATGTCCAAATGTCCAAAATATTCCCATAGGCCAATTTGAATCCAATAGGTAAGAAATCCTACATAAAAATGTACACCAGCAAAGACGGAAAAATGCAAATGCAAACTAAAATAAAAAAAAAAAATTTCTGTCAGATTAGTCAAGTCTTTAGAAAGACCCACAGTAATTCTTGGAGGGATGCTAAATCAAATCATCAAAAGTCTCAGCAATGCTATTTTAATAAAATACACCTGTAACAGCCTAGAATCAGGTGAGAATTTAAGTAATTTCCAGAAGACAGAAAAATAAGGTTGCCTAGAGAGCAGTCTGCAGCACACAGGAGAAAATGGCACTAACAGCACAGATGAGAGCCCCGCAGGAATGTCCCTCAGCTGCCGCGACTGGCTGCCGCAGCACCTGCCCGAGGGGAAAACCTAGGGCCTGTTTGGTGATCATGCTCGTGCTAAATGAGGAGAGAAAAGCTCGAAACGGTGTTAAAATTCTACAAGCACAGCAGAAGAAAGAAAAGGAGAAAACTTAACTCAAGCTCTCAGAACAAGAGCTTGTACTTCTCAGTTCAGAGGCCAGAAGAGGAGGGCAGGACCCTAGGTAGCTTATCACCATTAAGAAAAGAATCCTACACCCCAAAGACAAACCAAACCTACCTCCAACTTGGCTTCTCACAGTTACTAGAGGCAGGCAGCCAAAGACAGATAAACAAGGAGTACCAAATGCAAAATGAATCACACTACATTTGAGAAAAATTAAGACCAGGAGAGAGCGAGACCATTCCTAACAAAACACTGTAAGAAAGCAAAGCAAATATAACAAACGTAAGACTTCACTATTAGTAAAACTGCCTCCTCCCTGACAGACTGTTGTTTTATGTGGCCCCTTGACTCTCTTTTAAAGGAAGTGATTAAGTATCTTAGAAATTTTCAAAATAAATGAACTAGACATAGGTTCTAATTAGTGTGCTGGAAAACTGATGCAAGGATTTATCTCAGAGTGTACTGTAAAAAAGCAAAGTAGTTAACAGCATAAAGAGAAAATTTATCGTATGTGGAGGATAAACCTAGAAGTTCTAGAAGAGACCAGAGACTGGGGGAAAACATATAATCAAGGAAATAAAGAAAGCAACCCAGAGATAATGGAAGACTTCATCTTCTTTTAGAATGGCAAGAATAAAGAGAAAACCCTTAAAAACATGCAGAAAGAAACCAGAGTCAAAAACAGACTGCCGAGAAAAGGACTGAAAATTGGACTGGCATCAGGCTTCCCAAATGGATACTAGAAAACGTTAGAACTTCCCCATCAAAGTTGTATTGGATACTTGATTCTAAACCTGGATTCCTATATCCGTTCAAACTAGCATTCAAGAGCAAAACAGAAATGGACCCAAATTTTACCATGTGTAGCCAGTTTCTGAAAGAGATTCCAACAAAACCAAAAAGGAATCTAAAAGGAAGACATGATACATAAAACACAGTGACAAAAGGAACCAACAAAATTTAAGAATGAATAATTTTTGATTTGATTTTCCTGGAGTACAAATTGTAATGATTTATTTCTATATGGGAAGTGGTGGCAGGGAGGCTGTGTGTGTGTACGGGGCGGGGGGGAGGCACATGTGCAAAGGCTAAAGCACTTTTCTTTACAAGTGATGGACACAGAGTAACTCACTCTAGACTTGAGCTGTCCAGTAGTCACTAACCATTGTGACTACTAAAATTAACCAGAATTAAAAGTTCAGTTTCTGCCTCATTAGCAACATTTCAAGTGCTCCGCAGCCAGTGACCACCATATTGTACAGCACAGATACAGAACTTTCAGCAGCCCTGCAGGAAGTTCTACTGGATAACATTGCTCTGTATGTTGAGAAAAATATTTTAAAATGGTTATTACAGTTTTGAAGTTAACTATTAGAGGAACACATATAAATGCATAATTTTCCAAGGATATTAGAAGGAAAATAATTACTAAAATAAAACCAACTGATCCAATAAAAAGCTAAAAAGGATAGTAAAAAGAGCAAATAAGGCTATAGGATTATATCTAAGCATATGGTAATTACAAATATAAATAGATTAAATTCACCTATTAAAAGAGAAAACTCTTGGATTAGGTAACAGTAACAAAATCTGACAAAAAGAAACCTTGCCACCTGACTATAGCTTTCAAAACAAACAAAAAAAATGCATATACCTCTTAATCTAATAATTTCATTCCCAGATATCTTGTATCCAGGAATACTTGTACATGAGGAAAAAGATAAATGTTCAAGGATCTCTACTGCAGCATTGTTTTTAATAGCAGAAGAATGTGGAAATGATTTATATATTTTATCAATAGAAAACTAGTAGAATCAATTATGGTTAATTTGTACAGTGGACAAGCATGCAGCTTTTAAAAAGGATAGAATTCTCTGTGCATTGATATGAGACCATCTCTAACATGTACTAAATAATTCAAAAAAACAGAATACAGAATGGTAACATGCCACTATTTGTGTAAAGAAAGAAAATGTGTCTACATATGTTTGCATAGGCACAGAGTGTATCATTTCATATAATTTATAAAATGAAAGATTTTATAAACACCCCTGGGAGAGAAAATGGGAAGCTAGGGGATGGTGCTGAAGAAAACTATTTTATTTATCTATTCTTCTTATAACCGAATTTTATATTCTATGCATGCATTTTCTATTTAAAAAAATAAGTTACAAAAAGCAGGTGTGGAAATATTTAATAACAGACAAAATAGAATTCAATATGAAAAGCATTATGAGACAAAGGCAATTTTGAAAAATTGATAGAAGAACACTCCACTACAAATCATAAATCTGTGCATCTAACAATAGGTTCAAATTATATAAAACAAGCACTGTGAGAAATCCATAGAGAAACAGGTAAATCCACAATGACAGAGAGACACTTCAACATACTTCTAGAAAGTGGTAAACCAAGTAGACAAAAATAATAGTTAACACTTACTTGCACTTCTTCTGTGAGTGGCACTGAACTATGCTTTTTCATGCATTATCTAAAGACTACAGAAAATGTTAATAGTATGACAAGTCATATACCATACACATGTACCATAAATACCTTTGTACCTGATAAACACAGAGTATTTTTTCAGACATTTACTAAGATAGTCATTAAACACCACACATCAGACACCTGCCCCCCAACAACCACTACTACCACTGAAGTCAACATGGCTGGCCGGAGTACAATGAAATGAATCTCACTGATTTGGCAACAGCTTTTATGAAGACAAATTTGGCATTGTGTGTCAAGTATCCATACTCTTTGACATAGGGTTTGTCTTTCTGATATTTATATCCTAAGTAAATAATCCAAATATGAGGGAAGCATATTAGAAACTCAAATGTCAAAATGAAAGGGAATGGTTAAGTATGGTATAACCATTCAATAGAGTATTATTCTGCCATTAACAGGACATTTCATATAGTAACAGAAGATGCTTGAAATGTTAAAGGAAAAAAAGCAGTATTAGATTATATGTTTTATGTAGCTGCTATTTAATGAACATATGTCACTTTTATGGTTAAAAAAAGTACAATCTTTAACATTCACTGTTGGCTGCATTTTGCTTTTGCATTCTTTTTGTAATTTTCTGTTCATAGTTAGCTATGCAAGAAATAGATACCTGCTGAAGTTACACCAACCTACACATTATTTTACAAGAGAACAGAAAAGCCCCAATTCACCAGTTCTCAGAGTCCATGGCCATGGTGGCTGCTTTTCTATAATACAGTACAGCATCAAGAGACTTTATTTGGGCAAGCTAAATATCCATTAACTTAGACATGAACATTTTTGGGGGGTTCCTAAAGTGGAGTCAAATTCGGCCAAGATGCAGTGGAAAACTGTGCACACAGCAACGACTCCCAGATATGGTGAAACTGCATTTGCAGCCTCTATTTAGTAGTTAAATATAACTATTCTTATCTACTTATTAATACTTAAAATTTGGTAGTTACTTTAAGAGGCAAAATTGGAGCAAGTTTTTTTTTTAGGGAAATTAATTCCTTATTTGATGCTAAAAATGTTTTTTTAAAAAAACCTCTTAGAATCAAACATTTATTAATATTCTTTTTAAAAAAATTAGGTCCAAAAGACTCAGCCCAGATCAGCACTGAAGTTATATCAAGAATTAAGTTTGCTTCATGCCAACGAGCTGCTCCTCAGCAGGGGCTGGTTTTGCTACCTGAGGAGTGACAATCACTCTGTTGTGTACACAAGAGAGCTGGACGGCACAGACAGAGTCTTACTCATGGTTCTGAATTTTGGAGAATTATCACAGCTAAATCTAAAGGAAATGATTTCAAATATTCCCACAAGAGTGAGGATAAAGTTAAGTACCAATTCTGCCTACAAAGGCCATGAAATTGATACATATGCCATTACACTGGACAAAGGAGAAGGACTCATCCTTGAATACAAATCGAAGAATCTCCTTCATCACCAAACAGCTTTCAGAGACAGATGTTTTGTTTCCAACCGGGCGTGCTATTCCAGTGCACTCAACATACTGTACAACTCGTGTTAGGCACCTCTATGAAAGAGATGAAGACGTGGGCATTCTGTTCTATTCTAAGCATTTGCAGTAACTTCACATTACTGCAGACTGCCGGGTAAACTTTATGAACAGTCATTAATTCTTAGATATTTCTGTAGCTTGAATGTAAATGCTTTAGGAAAGGTTCTCAAATGTTTTTTCAAGAATAATAAAATGTTTAAAGAAAACTGTCACTTGCAGGAACTTGTAACTTTTTTGAGATAGCATCAATTAGAGATGAACTGAGCACCTTAGGACTCCCAATTATTAGAAAGATCTAATGAATTTTAAGAATGTTATCTTCTTCCATAAAATGCAGGTACAGAAACTGGATGATGACTTACTGCCACAGTATCTAAAAATGTTCACTAGCAACGAGGCAAAACCTTGGTTTGTAAACCATTCAAAGAAAATTGTAGTAAATAAAAACAAAGCTGTTCTGATGGGGGAAGGGGGCAGTTTCTGCTGTCACCAATCCTTCCCTCACTCCCTTCTCTATGTCCTACAGAGCATGATTTGAAAACTACTTTCCTAGGTTAAGGGGCATGTGCATCAATGGAGACAACAGTATAAGTGAGCTGGATACTAAACAAAATTTGGATGGAGAAGCAAATATAAAAAAATTATTTACCAACTTAAAAAACTCACTTTTCTTAACACAGCTGGCAATACGACTATGAAATATTTCAGTGTTTCCAGTTCCCACTGAAGTAGCATTTCAGAATTTTAGATATTTCTTGAGATTCTCAAAAACACTGGTGCTGTCGAGTCCAAGTTCCTCATACAGGAATTTAATTTGGGCTGTAATCTAAAAGAAACACATTGAAAAAACATTAGAGAGAAGGCCTTTGTGGTAAAACTCCAGTGTTCAAGTCTCTCCTTGTCCATCCATTTTCACCCAACCCTGAAGCCAGCAATTTATGGCAAGGGTATTTGTTATTTGGGACAGAGGCAGAAGGCTCCCAACAATTAAGATTCAATTACTTTCTCTAAGAGAACTCACTTATCAAGTACAAGAGAGAAACTTTTCTTTTTATTGACTCTGCATTCCTCCTTCCCCTGTCGGGTCTCAGCCACAGACCTGACAGCTGGTGAAGAAGCTGGCATGAACCCTGCTGGGACCACTGAAAGGCTGAGTATAACACATCACTGCTTGGGGATTTATCAACTTAGAGGGCCTTGATAACATACCTTTTTGTGAGAATCCTCAATCACATGATTGCCTCCAGGCTGAATATCTAAAATAATATTGGGGGCTTGATAGCCTGAAAGAGTTAACATATTAAACGATTAGAAGGTTTTGGGCCGATTGAGACCCACCCATTTCACCCCTCTCCCTCCAAGTATTCTATTAAAATAATAGTGAAGGATAAAGGCATAAACCACCACCAACAACAAAGAGAGGGGAGAGGGCAGGCAGCAGCAAAGAAATTTCTGAAATAGGAAAAGCAGGAGGACAAGAGGCTGAGGAAGTGGGATGGAAGAGACTGTAGGGACACACAGAGAAGGCTGTAACCTAGGAGGAAGCCAATAGGTCGTAAAGAATCTGTGAGCCTTGTGACCTGAAACACCAACTACAGCAATGGGTGAGGATGAGACATGGAACTGAACACAGGGGCAAATGTTTGAAAACTTGTCTGTGGGTTCTTCCCACTCTGAGCTCAGAAGGTACTGGCATGTCTTGGTAAGGAAAGAAGGTAAGAGTTCTCGTCTAATAAAATTGAAAGATCTAGAGAAAATTAAAGCAGCTAGTTTGGGCACTGAAGCTCCAGAGCAAAAACTTCAGAATTTGTTTTTTATAGGTTCCCAAGAATAATGGCTCAATTAATTTTGCTGAATGAATGATTGCATGATAGTATACCTCCACGTTATGTCTGATATCTCAATTTACTTCTTCTTTGTGCCTTGCCTAACTTATTCTAATAACATCCTTTGAAAAGGGGCAAGGCAGTTATAGTTATTACATTTGCTTCAACTGCGTAATCAACATGGGCAAAACAATGGTTTGTCTAAAATCAGGGGCAGATGATTTGGTGTGCAGCATAAATGTACTATTCTGAGCAGTACATTGAAGGCAATAGTCCATCTCTTACCTTCGCCAGTGTCCTTAGCATGCTCTGCGATGGCTTCCTTGAGTTTCTCAGTATAGCTTACAACTCCTCTCAGAGGTACACGTTCGTCATTTTCATAAGCTGTGATGTGGATCGAAGGATAATGCTGAAAGAAAACACATGTACAAAGAATCTGTATTATTCCTCATGGTCCCTTTCTACCTTACGGATTATAAAAGGTAATTCCAATTTTTTTTCTGTGCTAGATGTTTTCTTCTAATTTGACATTCTTGAGAGATTTATAGCATTACAATTCTAGACTACTTGTTACCTGGAATCATCTTTTCTTGAATAGTGAGACCTTAATCTAATCTAATGGAGTACGAGCCGAGATGGGGCTGAAAGGTGTTTTGAGTGCTACAAGGAGAATCAATCTAAGGCCTTAACTGAATTCTTGCTTCAGCTCAGGTAAATATTCTTCTGATTATTTTCTCTTATCACTTCATGACAGTAGTTTATCAAAGCTGTCCTTTCACTACCTGAGGTTTAATATTTTGATAGGGACAGTAACATTTGATGTAGTTCTTGTGTTTTTCATCAGATGAAGGATTCCCCCATTCTTCTAATTCTTCCAATGTCAGAGGAAGTGTAGTGTCCATCATGGTGTTGAGAACATCCAAGAAAGGTGCCTGAAAAAAAAGCCAAAGGAATTTAAACTTCAGTTAACAAGCTGGTAAAATGAGTTTCAGAAAAATACTATACTTTATGAATATATACATGCTGACATGAGAACAAAGCTCAAGAAGGAATGCACATTCCCAGGAGCCAGATTAATTAGCCAGTCTATCACCAGGGCCTGTGATGTAATTGGCTTTTAAGGTATTCAAACTCCTTAAACGACATAAGGGTTATTTTCTAATTTCACAATTTTTGCTTTTAGTTTTGTGTCTTTTATTCATATATGTGTATGTCTCTGTGTGTGTGTGTATATATATATATTTTTTTTGCAGAAACTCAGTTGACCATATCATGCTGTTTGTATTTTTTATTTATTTATTTTTACTGAAGTATAGTTGATGTACAATGTTATGTTAGTTTCTGGTGTGTAGCCTAGTGATTCAATTATATATATAAAAGTATATATATATATACTTTTTCATTATAGGTTATTACAAGCTATTGAATATGGTTCCCTGTGCTATACAGTAGGACCTTGTTGTTTATCTATTTTATATATAGTAGTTTGTATCTGCTACTACTTCTTCCAAACTACTACTCTCCCCTCCTTTCCCATTTGGGTAACTGTAAGTTTGTTTTCTATGTCTGTGAGTCTGTTTCTGCTTTGTAAATAAGTTCATTTGTGTCATTTTTTTGTAGAGTCCACGTATAAGTGGTATCACATATTTGCCTTTCTCTGACTTACCTCACTTATGATAATCTCTAGGTCCATCCATGATGCTGCAAGTGGCATTTTATTTCATTTTTTTTTTTTTTTATGACTGAGCAGCATTCCACTCTACGTATATACCACAACTTCTTTATCCAATCATCGGTCGATGGACATTTAGGTTGTTTCCATGTCTTGGCTATTGTACGTGGTGCTGCTATGAACACTGGGGTGCATGTATCTTTTTGAATTAAGAGTTTTCTCCAGCTATGTGCCCAGGAGTGGGACTGCTGGATCATAAGGTAAATCTATTTTTAGTTTTTTTAAGGAATCTCCATTCTGTTTTCCATAGTGGGTACACCAAACTACATTCCCACCAGCAGTATAGGAGGGTTCCCTTTTCTCCACACCCTCTCCAGCACTTGCTGTTTGTGGACTTTTTGATTATGGCCATTTTGGTGGGGGTGGTACCTCACTGTAGTTTTGATATGCATTTCTCTGATAATTAACACTATTGAGCATCTTTTTATGTGCCTATTGGCCATATGTATGTCTTCTTTGGAGCAATGTCTATTTAGGTCTTCTGCCCATTTCTTCACTTGGGTTGTTTGTTTTTTGGTTATTAAGTTGTTATGAGCTGTGTGTGTACCTTGGAAGTTAAGCCCCTGTAGGTCACATCATTTTCATGTATTTTCTCCCAATCCATAGGTTATCTTTTTGTTTATAGTTTCCTTTGCTGTGCAAAAGCTTATGTTTAATTATGTCCCATTTGTTTATTTTTGCTTTTATTTCTATGGCCTTGGTAGACTGACCTAGGAGAACACTGCTACAATTTATGTCAGAGAAATGTTTTGCCTGTGTTCTCTTCTAGGAGACTTATGTCTTGTCTTATGTTTAAGTCTTTAAGCCAGTATGAGTTTATTTTTGTATATGGTATGAGGGAGTGTTCTAACTTCACGGATTTACATGCGGCTGTCCAGCTTTCCCAGCACCTCTTGCTGAAGAGACTGTCTTTTCTCCATTGTATATTCTTGCCTCCTTTATCAAAGATTAATTGACTGTAGGTGTGTAGGTTTATTTCTGGGCTCTCTATTCTGTTCCACCTATGTACGTCTGTTTTTTGTGCCAATACCACGCTGTTTTGATCACTGTAGCTTTATAGTATTGTCTGAAGTCTGGGAGGCTTATGCCTCCAGCCTTGTTGTTGTTCTTCAGAACTGCTTTGGCTATTCTGGGTCTTTACTGATTCCATATAAATTTTAAGATTATTTGTTCTAGTTCTGTGAAAAATGTCCTGGGTAATTTGATAAGGATTGCATTAAATCTGTATATTGCTTTGGGTAATATGTCAATTTTAACAATATTAATTCTTCCAATCCAAGAGCATGAGATATCTTTCCATTTCTTTAAATCATCTTTAATTTTCTTAATCAATGTTTTATAGTTCTCAGTGTATTTCAGCTCCTTGGCCAGGTTTATTCCTAAGTTTTTTAATGCAATTAAAAACTTATTTTTTTTTTTTTTTTTACTTTCCTCTTCTGGTATTTCACTGTTAAGTGTATAGAAACGCAAGAGATAGATGTATGTTAATCTTGTATTCTGTTACCTTGCTGAATTTGTTTTATCAGCTTTAGTAGTTTCTGTGTTGGAGTCTTTAGGGTTTCCTATACATATATATATTTTATATAAAAGTAATAAATGTGGCCACTTCACATCCATTAGGCTGCTATTAAAAAAACAAAAAATAACAAGTGTTGACAAGGATGTGGAGAACCTGGAATACTTGTGCACTGTCAGTGGGGGTGTAAATGGTATAGTATGTTGTTTCTCAAAAAATTAAACTTAGAATTACCATATGATCTAGCAATTCTATTTCTAGGTATATATCCCAAAGAAATGAAAGTAAGGTCTTAAAGATTATAGTATCTCTGTTTGTAGCAGCATTATTTACAATATTCAAAAGGTGGAAGTAAATCAAGTGTTTACTGATGGATGAATGGGTAAGCAAATTATATATAAATACAATGAAACAATGAAATTCAGCCTTAAAAAGTAGGAAATTCTGACACATGCTATAACACAATGGACCTTGAGGACATTATCTAAGTGAAATAAACCAGTTATAAAAAAACATGTATTGTATGAGTCCATTTATATAGAAGGTACCTTAGAATAGTCAAATTCATAGAGACAGAAACTAGAATGGTGGTTCCCAGGAGTTGGGGGAAGGAGAACTAGGGAGTTGCTATTTAATGGGTACAGAGTTTCAGTTTTGCAAGATGAATAGTTATGGAAACTAGCTGGACAACAATGTGAATGTACTAAACACTACTCAACTCTATACTTAAAAAGAGTTAAGGTGGTAAATTTTACGTTACCTTATCACAATTAAAAATTAAAAATAAAATCTCAACGACACATGAATAAACTCAGTTGGACACTTTACATTAAAAAAAGATAATAAATGCTAACTGAAGAAAATCTGGAAAATATCCTAGTTGAAAGAAGAGAAAATCACTCACTGGCTTATAACCAGTGTTAGAACATTTAATAAAATGGCAGTTGCCTTATAATCTGTTACCATGTATACTACTTTCTCTTGTATCAACATTAAGTAAGTACAGTGCCCAAATGTAATTCTTTTTGGCTGCCTAGCATCTTAGTTCTTTTTTGCATTTAGAGTATCCCTAACTTTATGAGACAGAGACTGCCTCTCACTGTGGAGGTGCTAAAATACATGCCAGACAGCTCCCTTTCCCAGCATTCCCTCAGAGTGAGAGGAGCCATGTGACTCAGGTTTACCAGACATAATGTGCTCCAAACTTTGAATTAATTGTTGAATATTTAGGTTAAATCCAATTCTTCACTATTGTAAGCCAATGTGGGATAAATAAATGTCCTTACACATACAGCTCTTATTACTTCCTGATTTCGACAAGTCAAAGTTATTTCTAGAAGTCAAAGGTATTTGCATTTTCTTTATACTGTAATTCTGCATTATTATCTTTGTGCATAGGGTTTATTTTTTCCTTATATACTTAATTTTCTATTAAAAATAGATTTACAGATCAGGATTATTTAACACTTATTTACTTTAATAGAAGCACACAGTGTATACCGCTCACCCTCAAAATAAAAAAAACCTGAAAATAATTTATTCTCTCCATCCTAGGGACTGTCTTCTAGAGTATCTACTGTAGGAGAACAAAAATTGCCGCCCCCAAATTATTTCAAGCTGAAAACAATCAAGGCCCAAAAGACTCAGGAAGAAACTCTGACCTTGTCCTGAACTGCCTGCAGAATTCAGATAGAGGAACAGAGCCATCAGCAGACAGTGCATGTGGGCCAGGTACAGTGGGCGGACAGAGATCAGGGTCCACTTTGTGTCCCAAGGTCTCTCTGCATAGACCAGCAAACGTTTGTTTACCAAACACTTGCTTTCCATCTCCATGTGAATTGCCTTCCACCCCGTGAAGTCCCAAATCAAACCCCAACATCTTCTTTAGCTGAAGATGGTGTCTAAGGTGAGAACTCCGGCCATTTTGGTGAGTTACTCAGTTTTACTGGGGCTTTACCATGTATACATATTATTACGCTCTCGTTTGACTTTTCTCCTGTAAATCTATCTCATGTCAACTTAATTCTTAGACCGGCGAGAAGAACCTAGAAGGGAAGAGGAAAATTTCTTCCTCCCTGACACTAACCAGGAAGCAGGAGAATGATGGAGGAAATGAGCTGCTATAATACAACTTTGTATCTCAATTAAAGGACAGAAGTACTACCCCTAAAGACTGTTAATAAGAATGGAGGAGCTGAAGATAGAGAGCTCCTAAACCCAAGACTGAAATGTTGGTCAGTAAATGTCCAAGGATTTCACACATTCCAGAGTCAGTGTGCTCTGTCTGACTTCCTGGGTCTGGTGTGTCATATATGCTTTGTCTCTTTCCCTCCAACTCTGAATGTTCTTACAAATAAAAAATGATCAACAGGAATAGCCATTAATATCTTTCAGTGGAAATTCTTAAAAATTAATAAAGAACACTGTCAGGGAAGTTCTCCTGGGGGTATAATTCTGTGTTTAAAATGTACAAGCTTTGTTATACTCCTATGCTATGGTAAAAACTGTTAACAGAAATTTTTTCTTAAGAGCATCTATGGCTTCACACTTCCCTATTCTGTAAACAGTGGAGACAGAGTACTTACCTCCAAAGTCACAGCTCTCAGCAGCTCTGGATTAGAATTACACAATGCTCCCACAAGCACCCCTCCAGCACTGAAAGCAGTCAGGGTTGTTAGACTTGGTTGAGAAAAGCCTTGGTCATGAAGTGTCTTAATGCAAGCCTCTAAGTCAGCAAGGCCATTGAGTTTTTTAGTTAGACGGCCATCAGCATGCCACTGGAGGCCTAATTCACCACCTCCCCTGAAATTAAAGGGCAAAAAAGTTTTAGTGTTAAAGAAACATTCACGATATAAGCCAGGGTCAGCAAACTATGGCCTATGGGCTAAATCTACCCAGAAGCCAGTTTTTGTATGGCCCTATGCTAAGAAGGAGTTTTACATTTTTAAAGGTTGGGAGAAAAAAGTACCAACCAGGTATATGCAACAGAGACCACATTTGGCTTGCAAAGTCTAAAATGTTTACTATTTAGTTGTTCAGAGAAAAAGTTTGCCAACTCTTGACATAGGCAATCAAAATCTGATTCAACAAATATGTTTTGAGTGTCTGCTTACTATTGCCCCGGCATTGTGCTAAATATATATGCTTTAAAAATATGCATAGGCAAAAATCCTCTGTCCTGGAGATAATTTGTGGGAAAAGTAAAGAGCTTCCAAGCAATGTGGTCACTGCTATGACCTGAGACTTGAGAATATCCACCTGTCAGGTTAGGGGTAAACACAGGAGGCAGGAACATGAATGCTTAAGGAGTCTTGAAGGAAGAATGTGAGTTCCTAGAAGGACAAAGAACAGAAAGGCATCAAGACAGCACGTGCAAGGGCACAGAGGGGAAAGAGGCTGTCATCTGAAAGGATGTAGTAAGGCTGGAAGTGTAGGATGTGCGTGGCTGGAAAACAGGACGTGTTTGGGGAGTGATGACAAATGCCACTATGAAGATAAGCCAGATCATTAGGAGGTTAAAAACTATACTGAGGTATTTGGATTTTACTGAGGTAACGGGGAAGTGGTGAAGAATTTTAAGCAGAAACATGAAACACTATTTGTTTCCTAAAAACAGCTAAAATAAACTGGAAGAGTGGAAAAAAAGGAGTCCAGCTTAAGAGGCTATTTTAGAAAAACCTAAACTCAGGAGAATTAAATGGAAATAATTATGTAAGTAAGTTCAGAGATTTGTATATCTGTTTTAAAAATCCTGAAAATCTGGTGTAAAATCCTAAAATCTACTCATTTGCTTTTGGGATTAATTAATCTGTTACTGAATCAGGTTCTACCAGCACAGGTGTAAGGATACACAAATTCAACAATAGAAATGAGAAAATAAACTTCCGCTCCCCAGTATACTGTTATACTGTACATGTCACAATGCTCCAGCACTCACATGCCAGTTAATATGTGTTGACTCACCGAACATGACAATATGCTAGTATCCATCCATCATCCACCAACACCCGTCTTTCAGGCCTGAAATTCATTTTCAAATCCATTCCATAAGCTCCATATACATGTACTAGGAGAGGTTTCTTCTGTAAGTCTTCAGAATCCATTTTATGGAAAACAGTCATTGGCACCAATTTTCCATCCTGGAAATGAAGATTTACTATGTGTGCTAAGAAGTCGTTTGAAATAGTTTTATTCCCAATTTTACGTGCTGCTTATTTAATTAAGACAAAAGAGTCATGGTCTGTAAAAATCCATATCCTTAATTTTCAGCTACTTTGCCAACCTAAATTAGTAACTAGAAAAGAGCAGCAAGACTCTGGCTTGAAAACAGCTTATTAAATGCAGATTTTCATGACAGTAAAGTGATTTTAAAGAGTTCTTCACTACTCTGTATAACTGTAATTGTTTTCTTTCAGGACAAGCCAAAATACCTATTATCAAGGTTAGATATACTAGCATAGCATTCTTCCTGTATCTCAGGCTACATAGTGCCATTTCTCATCTTTGAATATTTACACATGTGCTAACTAAAAAAGTCTGAACAACTCAGTTTTCTTCACTCAATAGTCAGAATTCTCAACTATTAAAACCTGAAATCTCTTACTGACCTAACACCCTCCCACATCCTCTTCAAAGACCTATTTAGCTTTGTTTTAAAAAATGTTTAAAAGAGGTTTAAGTTCTATAAATTTTAACACCTAAATTATTTTTAGGGCAAATAAGTATTCCCCAACGTAATTCACATTCAATTGACTGAACCTAGGCAGTCTCTGGACAGACAAAATTAAGACAATCTGAACTACGCCTGACCTTCCTTGCCACAGAAAAAGGGTAGAAAAGTTGGTTCTCACCCCACTTACAGAAACTAATGAAATAGCAGTTTACATAAGGAAAATAATATAACCAGGCCACTCTCCCTATTTTTTTTCATTTTCATTTTGAAAACTTCACTTTGGGGCACTAGAGTGTTATCAAATAAGGAAGAACTCTTCTCATTCTTTATTATGCTTAACTTGTTATGACAGTGTAACTGAATTTTCACTTCTCAGATTCATTCTTATAAAATGATGTAGATTAATTTCTATAAAATAATCTAGTTGTTTTTATCTTCCTGCCTCCTTCCCAACTTCAGTTGAATACGCAGAGAAAAAACTTGCTGGTTGAAAACTTAGGAGAAGGAAGAGGTAAGGATGTAGCAAATCCCGTGATGGCCTGAATCCTAGAGTTGGTCAGCAGTGCAAAGACCCCTGTGAAGTTACCGCAGCTTCCCTTTGGCAGTTGCTTCCCTTCTTCCGCAGTATGTAAAGGATCTCTTGGCTCTCCAAGGGCTTAGCTTCACTGTTCTTTCCATTTGGGGCATAATAATTACAACATTTTGGTAGATTGGTATAAAGCCCATGTTTGTAAATAAAACAAAGCTTAAACATATGTATTTTGTTGACAAAAAAAAATCTGGAAGGCGATAACACTAAAAATGATTAATACTATGAGGTACAGCAAATGGGACTGGAGAATAGTCATTTAAACTTAATACTTTCCATATTTTTAAGCATGTATTGCTTTTGTAATATAAAAATAATCTTTGCTTTAAGATATTAAAAGAAAATGACCTTAAAGAAAAAACTCGTAAGTAAAAAAGGCTTGTCTCAATTCATTCCTTGTCAGCACATGTGAAATTATCTGATATATGATGTGCTAAGGTCTGAAAATTCCTTAAATTCAAGGCCACCATTTATATTAGTTCCTCACTTGCACAAATTTTCTTTTCTATTTACTACCTCCCCAACCTCCTACTCCCCTGGACAATCTCCCCTCTTTTAGTCTACACTTTTGGCCATACTATTCTCCTTTACACTTTTTTTTAAAAAAATTTATTTATTTATATTTTTTGGCAGGGGGGCAGAGGTAATTAGGTTTACTCATTTATTTTTAGAGGAGGTACTGGGGATTGAACCCCGGACCTTGTGCATGCTAAGCAGGCGCTCTACCACTTGAGCTATACCCTCCCCCTACACTTCTTGAATGCGCCATTTCTTCCTCAATTCAGAGCCTCTGCACAGAACAGAATCTCCCTCCCCCCTTTCTAGCTTAACTCTTGATCATCCTAGAGGCCTTACCTGATATGCTACTTCCTCAGAGAAGCTGTCCCCAGTCTCTCCAGACCAGGCAAGGTCCCTATTTACCAGATGTTTGTACTCAGTACGTCTTCTTATGCAGCAATTAGCACATTAGTAATTACTTCTTCAAAATCTGGCACCTTCTCCACGAGATTTAAGCTCCACAAGGGCAGGGACTGTATTAGTCTTGTTCACTCTAGTCAGTTGCTTACCACCTTCGTAATTTTTGCCATAACTGTAAACGAACTTTGATTATTTTTTCTTTAAACTAACTTTGAATACTCAAATACACAACACATGAAATCAAGGGCTTCATGTCCTGGTTATAAATTTTCTAATCCATGTTAAAATAAATGCATGAGTATTAAAGTTAAAAACAAAGTCCATGTACCCCTTAAAATCACTTGGGTCTTGCTATGGAATGTGAGATCCACTTTACAAAACTATGCTAATGTAATCCCAGCAACTGCACAGTACTGGACAAATATGCTTTCAATAAACGAGGGCTGACAGTGTGGGTTACAAAGACTCACCTTGCTTTTGGCTTCTAGACGTAAAACACGGCTAGTCTTTGTGATCGGGTCTTCATGCCCAGTTTCCTCAAACAGTTTGCCTTCTGCAAACTTGTACGTGTAATATTTAGGGGGGCGTATTGGAGAGCAGAGCTGAAAGGGGCAGTTCTTTGGGTCTGAATTTGTATCCATTATGAATCCACAGGCCCAAGGAGGGAGCTGAGGAAATAAAACAGTTATTTTTCATTCTTTACCTAGACAGTAAGTATTCACTAAATTTCTGGGTCTGCTCCAAACAAGATGATTTGGACATCAAGTTTTGTTTTTTTTTAACTCCATTATCACTTAATGCCTCATTTAAGGATTACTTTAGCACAATAAAAACATTTCAAGTAAAAAATGAAAACTCAGTTATACTAATGACCAATAAAATAAACTAAGGAAAAATTACAGGAAAATGGTTTTTCATGATTCTGGATCTACAAGAAATCTCCTTTAATAAGTCTATTTTGGGGTATATAAACTTGGGCAATGAAACAGCAAAAGATTAAGAATAATAGCAAATCAAATAGTAACTCCAGAACCAAGAGACATCTCTTAAGATCTCTGTTCTCATAGAACATGAAATCTCTCACATGTGTTTTTAATAATTTACCCAGCAGCCCTAACTCTACTGCCCCGACAGCCACAGTGATGACAGTTATTATTCCAGGGCTACAAACTGGCTCAGCAGCACTAAAGCATTTACAATT